CATCTCTTCCTACATCTCTTTTTCTTACTGCTCTTGTTTCCGACCTTTCTTTTCTCACACCTGTCATACCATCTTATAATTCTCTCTTCAACAACCAGATAGAGCATTCACTTTTACACAGATATGACTGATTTCAACTATATCATACATTCAAGCTATAATTACGTAAACCATGACTTTCATAACATCCAATGCCTTCCATATTTTAAGCTTCATATCGCCTCTGCATTATAAAGTGCAGATTTCCAAGACGTGACAACATACTACTACATAGATATATCCACTTATCTCTGCGTATCCACTGGCTTGCAATGTATATTTGATGTACTGCTCTACCCCACATTGTCATGTTTTACAGTTTACAATTAGTCCCGTCTGCGAAACGGGAGGCTATATGTCATGTCTATGTTCTGACTGAGATATTTAACTGTATATGCTCTGTATGCTCTCTTTTACTAATAAAGTGTTTTTGGAAAAAAAAAAAAGATATAATAATAATAATTAAGAAATATATACAATGTAACAATTCTAGAGAATGCTGGAAGGAATTAGTACTTTTATTTTGTATTATTTGCTAATTCTCTCTAGCTTTCGCTAGAATTTTTACATTGTATTTCTTTTTACAAAGACTTACAGGTGAAACTCGAAAAATTAGAATATGGTGCAAAAGTTCATTTATTTCAGTGCAGCAACTTAAAAGGTGAAACTAATATATGAGATAGACTCATTACATGCAAAGCAAGATAGTTCAAGCCGTGATTTGTCATCATTGTGATGATTATGGCTTACAGCTCATGAAAACCCCAAATCCACAATCTCAGAAAATGAGAATATTACATGCAATCAATAAAACAAGGATTGTACATAGAACAATATCGGACCTCTGAAAAGTATAAGCATGCATATGTACTCAGTACTTGGTTTGAGCCCCTTTTGCAGCAATTACTGCCTCAATGCGGCGTGGAAGCTATCAGCCTGTGGCACTGCTGAGGTGTTATGGAAGACCAGGATGCTTCAATAGCGGCCTTCAGCTCTTCTGCATTGTTCGGTCTCATGTCTCATCTTTCTCTTGGCAATGCCCCATAGATTCTCTATGGGGTTCAGGTCAGGTGAGTTTGTTGGTCAATCAAGCACAGTAATCCCACGGTCATTGAACCAGGTTTTGGTGCTTTTGGCAGTGTGGGCGGTTCCTGCTGGAAAATGAAGTCAGCATCCCCATAAAGCTCGTCTGTGGAAGGAAGCATGAAGTGCTCCAAAATCTCCTGGTAGACGTCTGTGTTGACCCTGGACTTAATGAACCACTGAGCAACAGACCTGGTCTGTTTTTCTTTAGCCCAGGTAAGACGCTTCTGACATTGTTTGTTGTTCAGGAGCGGCTTGACAAGAGGGGAATGCGACATTTGAAGCCCATGTCCAGGATCCGCCTGTGTGTGGTGGCTCTTGATGCACTGACTCCAGCCTCAGTCCACTCCTTGTCAACGTCCCCAACACTTTTGAATGGCCCTTTCCTGACAATCCTCTCCAGGCTGCGGTCATCCCTGCTGCTTGTGCACCTTTTTCTTCCACACTTTTCCCTTCCAAATAACTTTCTATTATTGTGCTTTGATACAGCACTTTGGGAACATCCAACTTCTTTTGCAATTACCTTTTGAGGCTTTCCCTCCTTATGGAGGGTGTCAATGATGGTTTTCTGCACAACTGTCAGGTCAGCAGTCTTTCCCATGATTGTGATTCCTACTGAACCAGACTGAGAGACCATTTAAAGGCTCAGGAACCCTTTGCAGGTGTTATGGCTTAGTTAGCTGATTAGAGTGGGACACTTTGAGCCAAGAATATTCCACCTTTTCACAATATTCTCATTTTCTGAGATTGTGGATTTGGGGTTTCATGAGCTGTAAGCCATAATCATCACAATTATGACAAATCACGGCTTGAACTATCTTGCTTTGCATGTAATGAGTCTCTCATATATTAGTTTAACCTTTTAAGCTGCATTACTGAAATAAATAAACTTTTGTACCATATTCTAATTTTTCGAGTTTCACCTGTATGTAATTTCTGTTCTCGCCTGCTCCATCTAGTGTTCAAAATTTGGTATTTTTGCAATATTAATCTCTTCCCACCCAGCCTATTGTAATATGACGGCTGGGCAATAGCCCTATTATCCTGGGAGGACGTCAAATTAAGTCCTCTAAGGAACGCACCCCAAGGGTCATGCTGGTGCGATCTGTCACCCGCTGTGTCCACCGGATACAGCCGATGACAGACTACTCTACTAGCCCACTGCCTGTACCATGTGATCTCTGTGGCCGATCACAGCAGATCACATGACGAGTGTACACAATGAAAGGCTTTGATTCATGCCTTTCATTGTGTACTATTGTGATGAGCTCTATGATTGGTCACAGTGATCACATGGTCCAGACAGGGCCAATCACAGCTAATCACAATAGTAAACACTAAATGAATAGATTTCATTCAGAAAAAAATGATTGCTTATAACTGTAAAATTACTGTGAAATTCACTACTTAAAGGATAAGTTCACCTTTTTGACAAAAATAATAAATACACATTTCTTTGCACATTTCTTTGTCTTCTGGAGCCTGGAAAGCATTGCACCAGTGATCAGTAGATCTCTGATGCCATACAGGTCTCCAACTTCCAAAAAACTCACAATGCCTTTTACTAAATACTAAATAAATATTGGACTGTCTACTTACCAAAAAGGGATCATTTGGGGGATATCTGTTCTCTCTTGGAATTTTCGGGCCTCAAGAAATGAGATTGGCCATTAGTACATCAGGACTGATCGATTTTCAGATATAAATTCATCCTACCTATCCCACCGCACCTTCAGTGTCACATACAATTCTACTTCCTCCTCTCCTCTTCCTTTCTCCATTGGGGTCCTCCAAGGTTCAGTTTTTAGACCACTCCTATTCTTGATCTACACCTCCTCCCGGGGTCAGCTGATACAGTAGCCTCCAATTGCGTTCAATATCATTTCTACGCTGACGACACCCAAATCTATCTCTCTACCCCTCAGCTCTCAACGCCAGTTTTCTCACGCATCACTAATTTACTGACCGACATACAGTATCAGTCTCGATGTTGCTCCTAATTCACTCCCTGGTTATCTCTCACCTCGACTACTGCAACTCCCTCCTTATTGGATGTCCTTTACATAGGCTATCCCCCCTCCAGCCAATCATGAATACTGCTGCCAGGCTCATCCACCTTACCAACTGTTCAGTGCCTGCCACCCCTCTCTGCCAATCCCTCCACTGGCCTCCATTCAGTGTCCTCCACCCCTCTCTGCCAATCCCTCCACTGGCTTCCACTCAGTGTCCTCCACCCCTCTCTGCCAATCCCTCCACTGTCCTCCACTCAGTGTCCTCCACCCCTCTTTGCCAATCCCTCCACTGGCCTCCACTCAGTGTCCTCCACCCCTCTCTGCCAATCCCTCCACTGGCCTCCACTCAGTGTCCTCCACCCCTCTCTGCCAATCCCTCCACTGGCCTCCACTCAGTGTCCTCCACCCCTCTCTGCCAATCCCTCCACTGGCCTCCATTCAGTGTCCTCCACCCCTCTCTGCCAATCCCTCCACTGGCTTCCACTCAGTGTCCTCCACCCCTCTCTGCCAATCCCTCCACTGTCCTCCACTCAGTGTCCTCCACCCCTCTTTGCCAATCCCTCCACTGGCCTCCACTCAGTGTCCTCCACCCCTCTCTGCCAATCCCTCCACTGGCCTCCACTCAGTGTCCTCCACCCCTCTCTGCCAATCCCTCCACTGGCTTCCACTCAGTGTCTTCCACCCCTCTCTGCCAATCCCTCCACTGGCTTCCACTCAGTGTCCTCCACCCCTCTCTGCCAATCCCTCCACTGGCTTCCACTCAGTGTCCTTCACCCCTCTCTGTCAATCCCTCCACTGGCCTCCACTCAGTGTCCTCCACCCCTCTCTGCCAATCCCTCCACTGGCCTCCACTCAGTGTCCTCCACCCCTCTCTACCAATCCCTCCACTGGCCTCCACTCACCCAATGAATTAAATTCAAAATACTAACAACAACCTACAAAGCCATCCACAAACTCTGCCCCCAGCTACATCTCCAACCTGGTCCCTAAATATAACCAAATCGCTCTCTTTGTTTCTCCCAAGACCTGCTTTCTAGTTCCCTTGTCATCTCCTCCCATGTTCTCCTCCAGGACTTCTCCCGAGCCTCTCCCATCCTATGGAATTCCTTACTCCAACCTATTCAACTATCTCCTACTCTATCCACTTTTAAGCGATCCCTGAAAACATTTCTCTTCAGAGAAGTCTATCCCACCTCTACCTAACAACTATACATATATCTTCTCTATCAGCTCATCCCCCAGTTATTACCTTTTGTATCACTTGACCCTCCCCTTTTAGATTGTAAACTCTAATGAGCAGGGCTCTTGATTCTGACTGTATTCAATTCTGTTGTAACTATACTGTTTGCCCTCACGTTCTAAAGCGCTGAGCAAACTGTTGGCACAATATAAATCCTGTATAATAATAATAGTAATAATTATAATTCTATACCTTTCCTACAGACTGGATAGTATACACTGATTTGGGTTATTTTCACCAAAGAAATGTAGCAGAATAAATTTTGGCCTAAATTTATGAAGAATGATTATTTATTTGCAAAATGTTTTAATAGAAACAAAGAAAAACATGCTTTGTTTTAAAAAAATTGTTGTTTTTTTTTCCAGTTTATTTAGCTAAAGAAAAACAGCACACGCGTGCAATGTGTCAGTGAGTGATGACGTCATCACGTTCTCACAGCCTGCTCTTCTAGTGAACATAAAAAACAGAGGAAGGCGCCTCTAAGTGCAGTATTGACAATTTATTGGTGAACAAATGATAAATTGCACTTACAGATAAATAGGCTGGACGGCTGGATGTCTCACCTGGATCTTATTACACCCAGGGGTGGACTGACAGCTCATGGGGCCCCCGGGCAATAGGGGATCATGGGGCCCCTGTGTCCTTGCCCCGATGAAAAAGGTTCATCTCAAACTGACCCCGGGCCCTCGGGCAGTCAGTTTCCGATCCCACCCCTGATTACACCACACAATAAGTCTTTTTAACTATTTATCTTGTAAGTGCAATTTATCCATTGTTCACCAATAAATTGTCCATACTGCACTTAGAGGCACCTTCCTCTGTTTTTTATGTTTACTGCATTAGAGCCTTGCTTCCCCTCTAAGAAGAGCTGCCTGAGTGTTACTGCTCCCATCCATCCATCCATCCGTCCTGATATCCATCTGGCACCTTTATCCTACAGCTACAGAGGTTGGGCTCTAACAAGCACCCCCTATATAATATACATTTTCTGCTCTTCTAGTGCCTGCTGATCTGTGTCAGTGTTGGTGGTGGTCAGGGGCGGACTGACAGCTCATGGGGCCCCCGGGCAATAGCGGATCATGGGGCCCCTGTGTCCTTGCCCAAACTCAAAAAAGCCTATGAAAAAGGTACCAGGGGCATCTCATGGGGCCCCCTATTGACCCCGGGCCCTCGAATTTCCAAATGGTCAGCCCGCCCCTGGTGGTGGTGTGTTGTGTCGGATCTGTCACTGTGTGGGATCGCTCAGTTCAGCTGCCTGCTGTCTCAGCGTTTTACCTCCCCCCATTGCCTGGGGAATTCCAGCCTGGGATCTGTCAGAGTGTGGATCCATCATCCTCCACTCACTGCAACTGTCACTCCCAACCACTGCCAGCCACAGATACACTGATTTTGTCTTTAATATTGGTGCTGGTGGCATCTTATGGCGCTTATTTTTGCAAATTAAAAGAAATTAAGCAGTTTTTAATATTTTCTACTGTTTTTAAATTTTTTTTGTTAGAGTACAAGTAGCTGGTCTTGCCTAGGGCGCAGAATAGTCCAGCACAGGCCCTGACTCTTGGTCACAATCCTGCACAATGTCCTTTTGTCTCTTTCGGTCAGTTGGCCGCATCGACCGCGCTTATGCTTATCAGATGACGTTTTCCCGGAAACTGTATAGGCCGTCATAACCTTTATTATTGTACCTCTTGACATGGCAAATAAATTGACAACTTCAGTCACAGTCACCAGTTAAGTGGCACCAACAATCTGCCCTCTTAGAAGCTCAGTAGGCTCTGACATGACTCCGTATTACCAGCAGCGCACTCAGTGAATGCCGAAAGTGAGGACAGAACAGAGATCTCCACAAGGTGGCAGTGTTTGAAAAGATATCTCATCTCATCTGCGCGCTCTGCGGAGAACGCCAGCGATGTGTTGCGGGTTCAAAACTCAAACTCGTTAGGGTGATATTTCGTTTTTCATCGTTTACCAGTGACTTCTAATTTCACAAGGTGTGAAAACATAAAACCAAACTGATTTTTAAACATTTCAAATCATATTCGTTTCCCTTTCTAAATAGGGTGATAAATGTATACATCGATCTTGTCATGAACAGGGGCGGACTGACAACTCATGGGGCCCCCGGGCAATAGGGGATCATGGGGCCCCCTTGTCCTTGCCTACACTCAAAGCACACCCAAAAAAGCCTACAAAAAGGTGCCAGGGGCATTTCATGGGGCCCCCTACTGACCCTGGCCCTCGGTCAATGCCCGAGTGCTCAAATGGTCAGTCCACCCCTGGTCATGAATCCCCAATTACATGAATTTGACCCTTAGGAAAACAAATACGGGTCCTTCTTGGGTCATCCTGTCCACATTTGGTGCTTCAATGCATTAAATATATGCCACAGTTTAAAAAAAAAACCCTTCCTGTCCAGGCCAATTTTCACCTTTCAGCGCTGTCGCAGTTTGAATGGCAATTGCGCGGTCATGCAACACTGTACCCATATGACTTTTTTAATAATTTTTTTTCACACAAATAAAGCTTTCTTTTGGTGGCATTTACTTGCCGCTGGGGGTTTTATTTTTTGCTCTATAAACAAAAAAAGAGCAAAAAATTTTACTTCTATTATAAAAAATTTTTGCAAACAGGTTATTTTTCTCCTTCACTGATGTACGTTGATGAGACTGCACTGATAGGCAGCACTGATGGGCACTGATAGGCGGCACTGATGAGGTGGCACGGATAGGCAGCACTGATGGGCACTGATAGGCAGCACTGATGGGCACTGATAGGCGGCATGGATGGGCACTGATGAGGTGGCATGAATAGGTAGAACTGACGAGCAATGATAGGCAGCACAGATGAGCTGGCACTGATGAGGCGGCACTGATAGGCGGCACTGATGGACAGCACTGGTGGTCACTGACTGACGGCACTGACTGGTGGCACTGATAGGCACATGTGGGAGGCACTGTTGGGCACTTGTGGGTGGTACTGCTGGACACAGGTGGGCGGCACTGGTGGGTGACATTGCAGGGCACTGATCATCAGGGCACTGATCATCAGTGACCTGATGATCGGTGCCGATCCCTGCTCTGACAACTGCCGGTTATCGGCAGCACTTTCCTCACGAAAGTGCAGCCGATAACCGGCAACTGCATTTACCAGTGATCTGCTGTGTCATTGGTCATGTGGTAAAAGGCCGCTGTGATTGGTCTTTTACTACATTACACGTGATCAGCTGTGTCCGTAGGACAGGGGCGTATGGGAGGGCGCATTCTGGGAGGACGTCATATGACGTCCACCCAGAACTGGTCGGCTGCAGTGAAGCCGTCATTCGGCTATCTGTGGTTGGCAAGTGGTTAAAGAGTAACTCCACTTTTGTTGAGAAAAAAAAAACCCTCCCCTCTGGGTGATCTGTGTACATTGCGGGGATTTTAACAAAGAAAAAGCTGTTTGTTTCTCTGTGTCCATGTGCACAGTGAATGTATAGAAGTGATTTTATAATTATCAATCAGCTGCTGCACCTGCAGGGCTCTAATGAGGAAAGTGGCAGGGTCTGCATCTGCTTAGATGTGATTTCCCTTTTAGAGTATCTCACCAAAAATGACATTTTTGTTGCAGGGGATTCCAAAAGTTGGACTTGTAACTTAGTGCAGACTTCTGGGAAAATCAGTAAGCCAATCACACAAACAGGAAATGACATATCGGGGGGGGGGGGGCGTTCTGTAAACCACCTGTGTACAGAACACCTCCAGGTTGCCATATTACAATGTTTTTTTACATAAAATGACAGTGCTGCAGATTGAAAATTAAAGGTCAGTTTTAATGACATTCATATATAATATGACTTGTTTTGCAGTTGTATATATTAGATTTTTTTTTTAATTATTATTTTTTTTCCCAGGAAAGTGGAGTTACCCTCTAACCTCTTCCCGCCCACCCATAGTCTATAGATGGCAGAGTGGAATCTTTACCGATGGGGGCTAATGTCCTGTACATCATCAGTGGCTCCTGCACAGCTCACAAAGCGCGCACCTGGGCACCTGGTGATCTGTGTATCGCCCAGCGTTGTGTTCGGCAATCACATAGTAAACACTAGAAAGTGAAAATATAGATCACTTCTCACTGTGAGAGCAGAAAGAAGCAATTCTGCAGCCTGTGAGTGCAGAGCAGACTGTCAACCTGCTTGTATACTCAGACCGCAGTGCCAGCCACCCCCGTGACCCTGATCGGTGCCCCAGTGTAGGGACAACAAATAATAGCCCGTCACCTGTCCCAGTGCACACAAAAACACCTCCATACGCATACCAATGTCCTGATCACCACTGTACCCCCATACCAATGTCCTGATCACCGCTGTACCCCATACCAATGTCCTGATCACCGCTGTACCCCATACCAATGTCCTGATCACCGCTGTACCCCATACCAATGTCCTGATCACCCCATATCAATGTCCTGCACCGCATATCAATGTCCTGATCACCGCTGCACCCCATATCAATGTCCTGATCACCGCTGCACCCCATATCAATGTCCTGATCACCGCTGTACCCCATACCAGCACCCTGAGCACCGCTATACATCATACCAGCACCCCCTGATCACCGCCATACATCATACCAAAAGCCTGATTACCACCATACCCCATATCAGCACCATGATCACCGCCATACATCATACCAGCACCCTGAGCACCGCTATACATCATAACCAACATACCCTGAGCACCATGATCACACCCATACCCATCATACCAGCACCATGATCACCGCCATAACTCATACCAGCATCCTGATCACCGCCATAACTCATACCAGCACCCTGATCACCGCCATACACTCATACCAGCACCCTGATCACTGCCATATGCCATACTGGCACCCTGATCACTGCCATATGCCATACGAATATCCTGCTCACCTCCATACCTCATACCAGCACCCTGGTCACCACCATACACCCCTGATACCACCACATACACCTACCAGCACCCTGGTCTCCGCCATACACCATACCAGCACCCTGGTCACCGCACATACATACACCATACCAGCACCCTGGTCACCGCCATACACCCATACCAACACTCTGATCACCGCCATACACCATACCAATATCCTGATTACCACTATACCTCATATCAGCACCCTGATCACTGCCATATGCCATACCGGCACCCTAATCACTGCCATACACCATACCAGCACCCTGATCACTGCCATACACCATACTAGCACCCTGGTCACAGCCATATGCCATACCAGCACCCTGATCACCGCCATAGTCCATACCAGTGCCCTGTTCACTGCCATACACCATACCAGCACCCTGATCACCACTATAGACCATACCAGTACCTTGATCACCGCCATACCAACACCCTGATCACCACCATATGCCATACCAGCACCCTGACCACCACTATATACCATACCAGTACCCTGATCACCACCATACACCATATCAGCACCTTGATCACCCCCATACACCATACCAACATCCTGATCACTCCCATACACCATACCGGCACCCCATACCGGCAACCCTGATCACCATACGCCATACCAGCATACTGATCACTGCCATACACCATACCGGCACCCTGATCACCATACGCCATACCAGCATACTGATCACTGCCATACACCATACTAGCAACCTGATCACTGCCATACGCCATACCAACACCCTGATCACCACCATACGCCATGCCAGCACCCTGATCACCGACAAATGCTATACCAGCACCCTGACCACCGCCATACAACATACCAGCACACTGATTAACGCCACACACCATACCAGCACACTGATCACCGCCATATGCTATATCAGCATCCTGATCACCCCCATACACCATATCAGCACCCTGATCACCCCCATACACCATATCAGCACCCTGATCACCACCATACACCATATCAGCACCCTGATCACCCCCATACACCATATCAGCACCCTGATCACCACCATACACCATATCAGCACCCTGATCACCACCATACACCATACTAGCACCCTGATCACCACCATACACCATACCAGCACCCTGATCACTGCCATGCCCCATACCAACACCTTGATCACTGCCATGCCCATACCAACACCCTGATCACCACCATACACCATACCAACACCCTGATCACCACCATACACCATACCAGTGCTCTGATCACCGCCATACCCCATACCAACACCCTGATCACCACCATACACCATACCAGTGCTCTGATCACCGCCATACCCCATACCAACACCTTGA